ATTGGAAACAAATGCGTGATTGCGAAATGCTGTGGTGTTACTTTTACAAAGACGGTCAATGAAAAAAAGAATGTTGACCAGGGCAATACTATGAGTTTACACTTACAGCTTGTCCAAGGTCATTCATTATTAATACTATTAGTAATATCTTCGTTAAAGACTTTGATGGCGACAGCTCAAACATGAGAGGTTGAGCTTTATTAGCTCCACCTTGCGGAAATTCCGGATACTATTATTTTGCTTGTCGTATTATAGGACAATTTACGGTAACTAGCGTATTTACCGGTAACTCGCGGTATATACCGGTAACTCACGGTAGACTGCGTACAGCGTACCGGAAAATAATGCGGTATCGCCCGCGCATTTTGAATGGCTGCATCTGTATACGTTTTACGGTTTGTGATTTGGATACGGCGCGGATTGGTGGAACTTTATGGACTTTGGAACTCGGACTGAATAAGGATTGAGAGAACAGATTGCGGACTGGCTTGGAAACGGAGAAAAACTCCACGAAAATTAAAGAAGAGAGCGTGGTGTGAGTACTTTTGTCTCCATAACATAAACCTTTCCCCCGGAGGCACCACACTATACAAATATGAAAGTGGATATTTTTTTTTAGATTGCAAACAGTAATCATTGTCAAATTTCAATAAGCATACCCTTGTATGGTCTTGTATTGAACAATTTTACAATTGATAATATTTCAGCATTGTTTTTTAGCTGTTCTGAGAACTCTGCATTTATCAGCCTCTGTTGATTTGTCATTTGATATTTCACAATCTAGAGAAAGCATTACATGTTCAGGGAAAGAACTGAGTATAATGCCAACAATTTCAGCTGCAGTTTTTCAAAATGTGGATACTTTGCTTTTACTGCATCAGGTACGCCACTTCTAGTTACCAGCTACGATGTGACTTAAATGTTACCTTCTGCATAGTTTGTTTTCAGCATGTAGGGGCACAGGGTCCATCTTCAGTTCTTATTGTCATTTAATGTCATTTAACTAATGGACCAAAATAATTCTTCTGATAAATGCAATGTATTTTACTAAACACAGTTTGCTGAGCATGAGGTGCCCAAAGTCACCAGTTTGACCACTTCTTTTTTGAAAATAATTGGGAAAAATATAAAAGCTGAAGACTCTTGTTTTGAAGAAGGTAAGGGTTAGAGATTAAGGAATGCTTTTTTCGCATATTGTATAAAGACAAATAAAGATCTAAAGCTAAGATTTATAATGAATTGAGTCTGTGATTATTGAAAATTTTAAACAGACCAGAGACAGAGATGTAATCCCTGGAGTCTGCTCAACAGGCAGAGCTATAGTGTGAAGAAGCAAAAAGAGAATGCTCACAGAGGAGTCATCCACAGGATTCATTCAGTCCCTGTGTTCAGTGAGTCGGATCGGATGACTAAGGGTTTTAGCTAACCTCTCATTTGCATCTGCCTGCTTTTTGTTTGATGTTTTGGCATGAGATATTTCCCTTTTTTCTAATTCATTATTTTGTGACAACTGAAATCCACAATTTTAAATTTATTTACATTAATTTGATGCAGCGTGATACAGGTACTTTTTGTTTTCTTGTGTTGAATAAGGTAAGAAAATGTAGTCATAGTATAGCACAATGGGTGCCTGTTGTTGCTCTGTATAGGTACTTGGTATTGAATAGAGTCCAGAAATGAATGAATGTTCAGGAGGGAAGAGCCCAGCTAACACCAATGATGTAACATCTTGTTTCTGTATAAGTATGGGTTTTTATTCAATCCTTCCCAGCACTCATTGCTTTGCATCACTGCACAGTGCTACTCTGTTGCTATGACTACATTTTCTTACCTTATTCCAATGGACACTGTTTGCTGCCTGCTGTTTTCTGGTAAATTCCGCTGTTTTTTACTCTCTTTTTGACCAATACTCTCCAGGATTTCAGTGGTCCACTACTGGCAGTCACCAAACAGCTGCCATTTGCCGCCAACTCACAGACAGTGCCAAAGCACCTGCCTGATGAGATCTGCTCTTCCACCAGGATTGATGTTTTTGAGTTTCGCTGCCCGGCATTCTAACAAACATTTCTCTTCACCATGCCCTCAAATTCATTTTTTCTTGTTAACTAAAATTTTGATGTGCAAAATTTCAGTTGCCCGCATCAAAAGACATACTGAAGAACTTAAGGCTGGACTATTTCTCTTTCTGAAGTTTGCTCCAATTACAGGCATCATCTTATTAATTGATTCATAACCATGGAGTTGTGCGATTTTGATTGAATCTCTAATTTAATTAGAAGTACTGGTTAGGATTCGGGACTGGAGGGTCATGGGTTTAAATCCCTGGTGGCACATTGTTGATGTACCCTTGAGAGAGATACTTAATTCAGTTTGCTCCAGCAAAAATGCTGTTCTGCCTAAGTTGATACTGTCTTAGTTGGCACTTTAAATGGGAATTTTAATGGTTTATCTGTTAAAAATCCATCCATCAATTTTTAATAACTGCCAGTTACAGGGTTGCAATGCGCCAGAGCCTAGCCCAACAGACAGTGGATGAAAGAATCTGGTTAAAGGACTAAATTTCTAAATTATAAAAGGGGAGTGTGAAGCAGATCAGACATTGATGCCTTTGTAGGTCTTCCATTACTCCTCCAGGAGTCCACCTCACAGCCTGCTGGATTCAACGATAAATGTCAAAGCTGGTGTAACTAGCAGCTTGTGCTCTCTTTAGAGTCTGTCCTACTGTCTCGTAGTTTCACAGATGCACTTTTGAGTTGCTTCTTAATCGCAGTGTTTTAATTTTTTACTGTTTACTTAATAAAGATCTCAATAGCAATAACAATAACACTGCAAACAGCAAAAACTACAGGAAACTATTATGTTTTGGAATATCTAAAATATCTAAATAGTAATCACCATCCTATTTACTTTGCAATGCTGTTCACCTCTTTTAATTTAGAATGCATCCACATGGCCCTCACACAAAATGTTCCGTTTTCTTCATGTGGCTGGCCAGCAGATAATCCCTTCCATTTCTCAGAGAGCCCGCCCTATGTCTCTCTTCTTTGAACAGGTTGCACCTGAGAAAACCTACAGGCGGTCCACAAGTGTCTAATTTAAGATGTAATTTAATCACTCTTTTTGTACTTTTATTATCTCAGGCCTTTCCATTAGGAGAAAGACCATTTCATGTGGTCTTTTCCCTCTTTTGTCTGTTTGGTGTTCACTATTTTGAGATCTAGTTGCAAAAAAGGGATTTGATTATGGCACTTAGATTATATTGTATAGGGCGCCTAAAATGTAGCATGGAAAAAAAGCTCCTCTATTTGGATTGTAAAGGCAGAATGTCCTCCCTGAATTCAGACATCTTTGTTTCTGTGGGTCACAGAAAATTTCATGGAAATTTTTGGGGTGTTTTAGTCTTAATAAAATCAGTTGTTATAGTTTTCTATTCATTCTGAGAGCCTTCCTGTAATTCATATCTTTAATAAAGACCATCCATCTTACATATCTGAAAATCCCTGAGGCTTCCTGCATGGTTTTCTGGTTGTAATTGTCAGATAATTCCATCTGCCTATTTATTCCTGGTCACCCAACTAACATTATGGCTTTTGATTTCTGAACTTGGCTTCAAGGTTAGTTCTGCACTCTTCCCAGTGCATTATTAATGGCTGATTTTCCTCAAAATCTTTAAGAAAGTCTATTCAGTGCAAAAATACTGTAACTGTAATTTAATATAATTTCCGGCCATTAGAATAATAATTATAATAATAATTGCTTACACTTATATAGTGCTTTTCTGGACACTCCGCTCCTGGAGCACTTTACAGGTAATGGGGACTCCCATCCACCAATGTGCAGCATCCACCTGGATGATGTGACGGCAGCCATAGTGCGCCAGAACGCTCACCACACACCACTCAGTGGGGAGGAGAACAGAGTAATGAAGCCAATTCATAGATGGGGAGATGGGGGGTGAGCACCCCCTGCTGGCCCCACTAACACCTCTTCCAGCAGCAACCTTAGTTTTTCCCAGGAGGTCTCTCATCCAGGTACTGACCAGGCTCATACCTGCTTAGCTTCAGTGGGTTGCCAGTTTTGAGTTGCTTCTGGCCATATAGAACAAGTTATCACCCTAACATGTATCACTTGATACATTAATTTAATTTAATTTAAATTTAATTTTTGTTAAGATTTTTAAGATCATTTTTTGTTATCTTATTTTAATTCTTAATTTTTGTTAAGATAATTTTTGTCAAATACTGCATGTCTCTCAATTACAGTACATACTGTACTGTACATCACTTTACAAGGTTGTAATTGCAGTGAGATTGGCATATTTTCACTTGCCATTACTTTCTCCATGTTTTTGTGAAATCTAGATCTAAACAAGCTAATCAGGCTTTGCGGATGTACAGAGCAATGTCTGAGCAGTCCCTTGCTTAGGACCACCCTCTACAAATTTCCTAGAGTAAATTATCAGGGTAAATTATAATCTTGGCTTTTGGTCTTCAGAAGTCTGCTTTATTTACACATGTATAGGAATAAAATCTATGCTAGCATGTCAGTAACTTAATGCTCTGCATTGATTGTCTGTGATGGATTACTACTGGGTTATTTTTAGTTTTTATATTTTGACTATTAGTCAGAACCACACCAAAGAATGCTATAACACTTAAATATGTCTATGTACACTAAATTGTGAGGGATATCACTTACAAATGGGAAGCACAGTGTCTTTTTTGTAGAGTAAAAGGACTATATCCACTGTTTAATTTCCTGGACTATTAAGGGCTTAGTAGCACATAATCCAGGAAATACAGAGCTTTCCTTTCTCACCTGGAATCACTATCTGTTTCAGATTAAATTTTTCCCAATGAAACCTATACCAAGGTTAGTTATGAGATTATAAAGCAAGCTCCCCGTGTCATGCTTAGAACACGATTAACCTGCTCCAGTTCTGTTATCCATTATACTGTATGTTAACAGAGGATCAGCAGATTTTCATTTCTACTGTTGCCTTCTGTATCATGGAAGCTTTAGAATGGGGCCATTCATGCAGTACTGACTGGCTACCTGTACATATGGGGACTGCTGGCAAAAAAATAGTGACAATAAAAATTATCATGCCATTTGTTCAGTTTTTTATACAGGGAAGGTTATACCTGACCTCTAACCCTAGCAAATAGTTTTTTTTTCTCTGTCACTAAGAAAAAGAGCAATACAGCAATGGACTTTAAGTTGGCTGAATATACAGTAAGACTAATTTTCTGAAGACCTGTGTATGTCATAGCCCCTGAGAAGTGTCCTTAAAGTAATGAGGTGAGAAGGTTTTATGAGTTAAAATAAGAATATTTCTGTCTTTGCTTTGTGTTGTATGCCCACAGATTAAAACCTTACAAAATCTAAATTTTAAAATCATATCTTGAATCCAAAGATGTTATTTGGGTGATACAGTGGTACTGGCTGAGTAGTTATGTACTAATGTTCTCCTGGATTTTGAACAAGAAATGCTTAATTGCCTGTCACTCTGGTTAAATGTAAACACATCTGATGACTTGTAGCATTTTTGATATAGTATCCTATTGAAATGCAAATGGATTTATGTTTTGTGCAGCATCTTTTTCACATTGGCATATGTGTTACTTTTACTGTTTTAAGATAAAAGTCCAAAATGTGTAAAAATGTGTGATTTGTGGCCTGAAAAACCTGTCTGTCCTAAACAATTTTTGACCCCTGTTCTATTTTGACTGTTGTGGTAAAGCTAAAACTAACATTTAATTTGAGGGTATTCATGATTTTTTAAAGCTAGATATTTAACATTTCAGATCTCCTGGCTGCACATAAATATTATGCAGCATCCTACTACATTCTTAAAGTAAATGTATAGATTTTTTTTAATTATTGGCTAAATGTTATTCAAAAAGTAGAGCTCTGAATTGAAACTACAGTATTCTAAAATGTGTAAATACAGTAGTTGAACTATTATTAATTAAAAGTGGTATTCTCTATTTGCCTTTAGAATAGAGAGAAGTGGTTGGTGCTGCATCTCTCTTTCACACACAATTTTCTTTGCTTTGTATCTTATGACTGACTTTACCCAGATATCAGAGACAATTCATTCAGTCGCTCCCGTAGCTCAAGTGTGACGAGCATTGACAAGGAATCCCGAGAGGCCATCACTTCCTTCCACTTTTGTGAGACCTACACACGGAAGACTGACAGCACCACCTCTCCCAGCCTGTGGGTGGGCACCTCCTTGGGCACAGTGCTAGTTATCGTGCTGAACCTCCCACCTGCTGGGGAACAGAGGCTTCTTCAGCCTGTCATTGTCTCTCCCAGTGGTAAGTGCCTAAATCTGTACTTAAGACACCGCAGGGCCCCCTATATTATAGTCTCAGAACAAAAAGACCAGTTTTGCAGAAGGGTGTGTTTTGAACAGAACAAGTGCAAGAGGTGATGATTTAGTCAGCACTGAGATTATGTTCTTAGTTTTAGCTACATAGATGTCTTGGCCTTTTTTCTCCAAGAGTAGGAAGTAGTATGATCTGAAAAGCAAATTACTGAGATGAGTCTTCACTGTTTTCTGTGCTTAATGATCTTTGAGGAACATTGGCTAAAACATTTTTCAACTGTAATTAATCCAGAATGTACAGTACAACAGCAGACTTTAAATTCATGTACTGTAGGAAGAGTCATTCATTGAAGAAAGATAAATGAGTGTGTTCATAAAGGCAAAATCATATCTGTTTTGTTCTTTGTTTCGTTCTTTACGTTTTCTTTAAGCTGTAATGTAAAAAGGCTACATTGAGCTGCATTTTTTTATTTCTCATAAGTACTTCTGAGAGATTTAGAGATACAGGATTCATTGCCTCTTATAAGACTAATGGTCTTGTTCGTCTTTCAGGTACACTGATAAGGCTGAAAGGGGCTATCTTGAGGATGGCATTCCTGGACTCATCAGGGCAATTGCTACCACCTGCCTACGAGGCCTGGCGTGAACCCAACGCCCCCGATGACAAGGATGAAAAGGACAAGTTAAGGAAACGGCGGCCTGTCTCAGTTTCTCCCTCATCGTCTCAGGAAATCAGTGAAAACCAGTACGCAGTGATCTGTTCAGAAAAACAGGCTAAAGTTATTGCACTGCCATCCCAGAACTGTATATATAAACACAATATTACAGAGACTTCATTTGTTCTCCGGGCTGATGTAGTGCAAATGAGCAGTGGAATATGCGTTGCTTGTTTCTGTGCTAATGGACATATTATGACATTAAGGTAACGTATACCTGCACCTTATCTGTCTCATTCTCATGTCTAAACTGTGGAACACTTTTGATCTTCCTTTGGTGCGTTTCAAGTACTGTTGACACTTCTAAACTCAGGGCAAATGTCTGTTTTCAGTTTCACCTAGTCATGAATTTTCATAGTGACACAAGTGTTGCAGACCTTGTAAATATACAGTAACATGTGGCTTTAAATCAAAGGAATTCCAAAGTTTGTTTCCTCTATGTCACTAATAAAATGTTATTAATTCCTTGTTGCATTTTAATTTCAAGAATGTTAGAACACTGTTAAGAATGCATTATTGTGTTCCAAAAAAGAGCAGAGAAATCAAAGTCTATTAGGGACAAAATGTTTTTCTTCTGTAATGTATTAACCCTAAACTACTGAAGAGTTTCCCTTCTGAACTACAGTACATACTGTATGTGCTTGAGTAATTTGCTTTCACAGCTCTCACAGTTGAGTTGCTGATTTACTAGTCAGCTGTACCTTCTGAAATCTACAGATGAAAGATTTTCTTCAGTTCATGTGCCAGTGAACATTATGATAATGATTGGCTCGTACTAGTTTTTGTTGAATCATTAACTCCTATAGTAATACAGAACTAGTTGTCATTGCTTATGAAACAGATTTACTTTCTTTTTAGGATGTACAATCTGTCTTTGCTCTTTCTGCATGTGGCTTTTCCTAAATTTGTCCTCAGAACAGCTGATGTTGGTATAGTTGTCTTAACAATGCTCTGGCCTTTTTTGGGTTCTCTATTGGCAAGTATCATTTGTCTTCACTATGTACCAGATCGTATTGCATCTCTTCACCATTAATTGAAATACACACTTTAAAGTTTTGAAGTGTGTGTAATTGAGATCAAGTAGGTGGAAGTCAGCATAAACTAGAATATTTGTCATCACTTGTCACAGAGCCTGTACAGTGGGGGAAGGAAAGACAAACAGCATTTCTGACACTCTGTACTGCATCAGACAGATTAAGTATTTTAGTAGTTCTTACCATCAGCCAGGGTATTATAATACTTTGCCTTACCAATTTAAATCATCACCTGAGTTTCAAAAATGTATTAATTCAAGCATGGGATATGTAAATAATATGTGAGATTCTTTCAATTTACCACTGACTAGGTATGTATAGTACAGGTGTGGACATCCCTGGTCCTGGAGAGTTACAAGGTAACGCATTTGCAGGTGTTACTGGTTATTCATAAAAGAGAAGTTTGCAAAGACTTGGAATATGTGAGTGTTGTGCAAACTAGCATGTTGACTAGTTCAGTCAGGAATGGACAGGTGTGGTCCTAGAGAGTTACTGCTGCTATCTTCATTTGAAATGATCTTTAAGTTAATTGAACCTTTCACGTTCATGTGCTTCAGTGTTTCATGATTTAAGAATGACCCATAAAACCTACCAGGTTGGACTAGGCTGGACACCCCTGCTATAGTACATTTCACCTTGCAATTCCACAATTGTATGTTTCAAAATATCAGTGTGATACTTGACAGCATTACTGAAGCCCATTGCCAATCTTTTCTATTAATATCATTTCTTTTTCCACTCCAGTTTGCCAAGTCTAAGACCACTGTTGGATGTAAATTATCTGCCCCTTACTGATATGCGCATAGCAAGAACATTCTGCTTTACCAACAATGGACAGGCTCTATATCTTGTCTCACCCACTGAGATCCAGCGAATAACTTACAGCCAGGACACTTGTGAGAACTTACAGGTAAAAATCAGGTCCCCATAGCCCTAACAATGATTAGATAACAATAAAGTTGTATTAGTTGCTTTTTTATTGTAAGGAGCAAAATGATGAAACAAAACTTTGTACAATGAGATGCTTTTCTGTAGTGACCCTAAAAAAAACTATGGCTTTCTTGTGTACAGGATTTATATGGAGATAATTTCTCAGTTTAGTTAGTGGAGCAGGACTTTTTATTTTTTTATTTTTACTATAGTTTCAAATTTGCAGTAAGAAAGAGAAAAAATGAATGGCTTGTCGGCAGTAATTAATACAAAGCCTAAGAGCGTTATTGTGCAAGACTTCTGGCCCCTTACCCTTTTGGGAAGTACAAGTAAACTAAGTGAGTTTGTTAAATTTAACATACTGTACAAAAAACTGTTGTATATTCCTTATATTCCTAGCAGTTATACACTTCATAATATTAATTAACAAGGGATCATAATTAGGTTACAAAAGGATAAAGATCAAAGGCTTAACTGTGGTATGGAATTTAAAAGGCTTCTCCAGTTAAGAAAATGTTAATAAATTAAAGTTTGTCTTTCTTTTTTCTGTCTTTTTCCACCTGGACACGGTAATGTTTTCCTTAGCTGTGAGAAAGCAGCAGAGTGTTATTTGTGCAAAACACAAGGATCTCTGCATTAAAACCACGTGGCAGTCCACAGTCTGTGTGTTCAAAAAAGGACAAAAATAAAATAACTTAAATGGTGTCATCTTGTATTGCCTATCGAACTACAAAAAAGCTGTGATACATAGAAACAAAAAACTGGTGCCTGACAAGTCTTATCCTGTCAACCTGTACAGAAGAGTTTAAAGTAATAGGATTTCAGGCATCTAATGTTGTGCAATCCTAATGTAATTGAAAAAAACCAAGGTGAAAAATTAAACAAAATGCTTTTGTAAATGCACTCCACAACCATTGTAACAGAGTGATCAATGATCAGCTGACATCAGAAGCATGATTTGTTCCCAGACTGAGGCTCTATTGGTGCAGGCATGCTAAAAGAAACAGGTTAGGTGATGATCTCTGTGGTGTATGTTGCAGGAGATGCTGGGAGAACTGTTTACACCAGTAGAAACACCAGAGGCTCCAAACAGAGGTTTCTTCAAGGGCCTGTTTGGGGGAGGAGCACAGTCCCTGGACAGAGAAGAACTTTGTAAGTATTATAGAAACTAAACCCAATGAAGAAATTTTAGGTGTATTTGAAAAATTTATAAGAAACAGAAAAGAAATTTAGATGGAAATTAAAATTAAGGGAAAATAAATACAAATAAATAAATAAAATGTATTAAATTAAATAATAAATTAAAATCCTCAACTTTAATGGATTTTCCTCCTACACCAAGACCTACACCTGCATCTTGTCATATTATAAATTTGCTGCTACACTGATGATGGTTTTGGCTGAACTTAGAAGAATCAATTTCAAACTGCAGTTTCTAGGCTCTCATTACTTTACTGTAATTAAGATAAAGATTCACATAAAGTAAAGTAAAGATCATTTTACTAACAACACAGGAATCAAGAATTAATAAATATTCTACTAATTTTGCGCAATCAAGATTGAATGGAGGTTTAAGGGTATTGATATTGCAAAAATCTATATATATATAGTGAGAATTACTGATTATTACCTTATAACCTTAATGTTGAAGGTACATTCTTCAGTTTTTTTATATTATAAAATAGTCAGACTGTGACTTTTCAGTGTGCTTTTTGTAATCCATCCACTAGGTGGAGCTACTGTCTTTTTTGTCTGCATAACAGATCTGACTCTTTTCAGAGCAAACACAGAGTCAACAATAGTTCTAAGTAGTTAGTGGACCTAAAAGAGCAAGTGGAGTTGACCTGTTTATCTCTTCATGCCTTTTCCCAGAATGAGTGAGTTGCCAGTTATGAGTGAAGTGTGATGATTTGGTGTGTGACTGTCTCCTTTGATGAGGTTTCACTTCTTTCTCTGTTTTTAGTTGGTGAGTCGGTGGCTGGGAAGGCCTCCCGGAGTTTGGCTCAACACATTCCCGGCCCAGGTGGTATTGAGGGCATGAAGGGAGCAGCCTCTGGCGTGGTGGGAGAGCTGGCACGAGCCCGGATAGCACTAGATGAGAGAGGGCAAAAACTGGGAGAGCTAGAGGAGAGAACAGCAGCCATGATGGCCAGTGCGGAGTCCTTCTCTAAACACGCCCATGATGTAAGCAGATCATTTTTTGTTCTTTTTGAATTTCTTTACCACGTTCTTGTGCCCAGGTATTATGTACACAGGCAGAATGTAGTCTAACATTGTAGAACATTATAGCCTGATTTATTATAATGCATGAATTTGATTCTTATTAATAAATTCCATCCTTTAATGATGAAATTCCACATTATCCCCTAATCAATCTCACCTCTCGTCTTTATTTTCCCCAACCCTGCCTCTTTCTTTCATATCTCTATTCTCTCCCTCTGTCCTGTATGCACGTAATGTATAATCCAAGATCCAAATGTCGTTCACTCATTTGGTCTCCCTTTCAACATGAAATTAACCTCTTCTTGCTCTTTTGCAATCTTTTTATTAGAAGTTCCTTAAGAATATTTCAGAACTTCAGCTCAAATGTTAGGTATGAGATAACTTAGTTTGCATGTTACAATTTAAGATAGCATCTCAAAATTGCCAAGATATAAAGTCTGACTGATTTTTTTCTTACTTTCATGAACAAACTAATTCTGGTCTTCCTGATTTTGTCTGCCCCCAGATGATGCTGAAGTACAAAGATAAAAAATGGTACCAGTTCTGATTTCAAGTTTAAAACTTTGGAATAACTCAGTGGTATTGTACACAGCTTCATCTGGAAGATACTTGCTCTTCTCCCTCCTTCATTTATTTCTCCAGGACTAAGGGGATTCATCATGGAGTACTGCTCTTTCCTAGCACAATGTCATACACTGTTTTACCTCAGTCATATGGCTTTAACTGAGGAACATACTAAAGAAAAAACTATCAAATGAAAAATAATCACCTTGATGGTGTAGTTTTTTTTTTCTGTGGCGGCTGAGGGTTGATGTTCTTCTTGGGGACAGGAGCAGGGAAGGACAAACTAACAGGCAAGGGGGGTAACGCTGGGAATTCTCCTGTGTTTCATTTCCATATGCCAAACGTTGTGTGCCGTTGTCTCTGCTGCCAGTGTTTTCATTCTCCCTGGGGCCAATAAGGTAAAAAAAAATACAAAAAAACGAATACATATAAAGACAACTCTGTATCCACTTCTGGCTATGTCAAGTGCAAAACAAGAGGATAATTAACCCAGGACACTGTAAAGTCCATTAAAGAAGTCCCATAATGAGGTGCATGAAGATCACATCATATCACCAGGACAAATCTTTTGGATCCCTTCACCTCACAGTGTCAAAAATATCTTGAATACTTTCATTGCCCTTTTTTATTATTTAAAATGTTTTTTTTGTTTACTGAACATTATGTTTCATTTTGTATCTTTCAAAATCTGAAATTCTTAAATTTTGTTTTTAATGCTTACTGTACATGTATTTTTGTGGAACATGATTCATTCTAAGGTTAAACAAGGCTTTTTGTTTGAGTTCAGTGGTGGACATGCCATAGTTAAGCCAACTTTGACCAATTTCCATTTCTTTCAAGTTTATAAGGGCTGGGACTGAAAGCTCAAGAGTTCTTTAGAAACATCCACGTCAGATTTTATAGTATATTATCACATTTGTTTGTAATTAAATATCTGACAGTTTTTGCCAGGGTGCTTAAAATATTTTTTTATTAAACACTCTTCTCATTCACTTTCAAACCAAGAATCATATCTCAGTCATTTTTTGTCCTGTGGAGGTATGGATAAGAGTGCAATAAGACAAGGTTGAAAACTGCCTAGATTCTGTCTTCTTGTTGGCCCCCACCTGTTTTCTACCTTGTAACTTCATTTTAAACTCTGTACTTATTTTACCTCCGGGATGCAAAAGCACTTATGTTTTAAAGAAAGCCTTGCACTGCAGTTCAATATCAAACCATTCTGTACAAATTATTTAGGAGCAGCTTCAGTAACATTTTTAGTGCAAACAAATACATGTGTTTGTGTGTACAACTCAAAAAGGGACTATTGAGCCAGAGCTTTAGTGAGAATGGTGAACTGTAGTTGTACTGTGAAGGAAAGTGTAAAAGATTTATTGCAACAGATACAAATCTTATCAGCCTCAACAGAGAGTGCGAATTTGTGTGTCTGAAGAGAGAACACAAAAGTATGGTGCAGAACACAAATATTGTGCTCTTACAAATAAACTACTCAGATGTCCTGCAGCCATATATTTTTGTTCAGGGACTCCTGGGTTTCACTTGTGTTGAAAGCCATTTTAAACGTGAGTGGCAATCATTTTTATGTAATTAAGTGGTGACAGTGAACTGAGCATATGACATTATATAGCTTTGGCAAACAGTGTTGAACACAGTTAGGGTAAGTATTCACACCCAGGCAAGATGCTGAGCAGTCTCTAAACAAAAACTGTCTGCTCTCCGGGTTACAAGAAAAACAACAGTAGAACATGGTGAAAAAAGTAAAGTCACTATCTTTTCTCTAGGAAGAGAAATGTTTCATGGGTGGGATATTACAAGCTGAAAGGGCAATCAAAATAAAAAATAGTATTTATTATAGCTGAAGTTCAGATCCATGTGCAACCTGGTACTATTTTGTTTTTTTTTTCTTTTATTACCTAAATGGATCCTCTTTATTGAAGGACACCACAGCTCTGTGTACTGTAGGAAAGTTAAATTTACTAATTCTCATAACTTTCCTCATTTTCCTCAACTATCAGCAGATTGTTCTTTTGGTCCAAATGTAAAAAAATGCAGTGTTTTTCAGACAGAAGAGGACTGCACATGTTTAGAGCCCCACAGCAAGTATTAGACTACCATTCCTGCAGGTGGAGATAGCAGAATTATCTTTTATATCCTCTTGGCTGGCATTTCAGAAATCCTTCAGTGATAGGAGCTTTTATCCTGGATTGTTTAACATCATGCGTATATATGGATTTCTCTCTATATATGTGTATGTTAGTGTGTGTGTATATATATGGATAAATATATGTACACACATGCAGTTATGCATATACATACATCTATCTAAACACATTGTGTTGAGAAATATATTTCCTTAAATGGTGTTTTCAGTGTAAGTCTTACTGGTCTTTTGCTCTATAGATTTTCTTTTTTAATAAGTGCAAGAAAATGCTGCTATTTGTGTTAAATGTAGATGTATCATATGATTGTTTTTCTTATGTTTAAGAAAGAGAAAGAAAAAGCTTTGTTTTTGCTCAGAAGTTCTGCCAGATTTTTAATTCAGTATGTAAATAGCGGGGCAATCGGAGACAAATCTGAAAGTGTTGAAGTGGATAAACGGCATAAGAAGTCAATGTCGATGTTCTTTTCTGACGCCAAAGAGTTTCTTTTTTTTTTAACTATATACAGTATACCACTCTCCCCTGCTGAATATAATCATTGCCTCAATTCTGAAACATAAAGCCATGGTGCAGGTTGTGAATGAGGAACACCTATGGAACCCTGGAACGCATGAGAAAAGTGTAACAGTTGAAGGGAATTACTTTATTTGAATGTGTTGATTTTTGTAGGAATGAGTGAATACTATATCCCTCTGGTAGTTTTGCAGTCTAAGCTGAAAATAGTCATTCTGCAGCTGTATGGGTTTTTATCAATTAATGCACATACTAGTAGAAATAATTGTGAATTAAATTTTTGAAAGGTTGTTGCTACAGTATAACACTGTACTGCTGGGTTATAAATGTGCCATCGTATTGCACTATATTTAATTTCTAGATTTATCATCCAAAGGCTTTTGTCTGTTTAATTATTTAACTGAATGAAAATCATGGATGGATGTTTGTTCATTTAACATTTTCTTTTTCTTTTTGTATGTGTTATGGTGTAAAATAATCTTTTTTTAAGGAAGGACCAAAACCATCAGAGACAAATGCTAAACTGTGTCAATATGGAGTAATAATGAATGGTTGCACTTTCAGATTTGTTTCATGGTCAGTTTAAAGATAATCCATTATATTTATACATTTGAGAAGTGTATACTTTTAATTTGAGAAGATTTAATAAATGAAAAAAAAAATACATTATAATTCATCAGATCCTGCATTTTAAAAAGTCAAAGTGCTTAAAGAGTGTGTGTATATTATTCATCTTAAAGTAAAGATTTAATGTTTCTAGTGAAAATTTATTTGTATCTCAGAGGTACTGCTGTCATTTGAAAGATTTCACAGCAGAGGGTTGAGCTGTCCACATTTGAAATTAGCTTAAGGTGTTATTGGTGCAGGAAATACATTGCCACCTATGTTCTCTTTTGTTCAGTAAAAAATATCTTAGAAATTGTCTTGCACAATAGCAGAAGAAGCATGTTGTTCAATGTTTACAGCCACATATAAAGCCCTCTTTTTTGTCAGCTCATTCTTTGGCTGTTTGGGCTACCACACTTTACTCCAGACATTCTGTCAGTAACATCAATGATCGTGTTTTTGTATGTTAGTTATATGTTGCTGTCCAGATGGTGGTAGCTTATCTTCCAAGAAACTTGAGGAAAAAAACTTTTGACTAAGTGCCCTCTCTATCCCAATTTCTGTTTTGTTAAAATGCATTTTATTTCCTTCTCAAATACATTTATTGCACACACAGTCAGTACACAATCTTGAAAACTGATTCATTTTTATTATACATCTGAGGAAGTCTGATTTTCATTTACTGTCTCTTCTGTCTTGGAAAAAAGTGGGTTGCAGTATTTTCTCATTGTAGCCAATTTTCTTGTACAGTTTTATGCAAATTTCACATGGATGTTTATGACTTTATCTGCTGCCACAAACAATTTAGAAATTCTGTAGATAGAAATTACTGTGCAATGGAAACAATAAAAACAAAAAAATCTTAAACAAGTTTGCTAGTTGTTTTCTGTGTCTGTCTCCTTGTTTTGTACAGTTTATGCTGCAACATTTGTGCTTATGTCTATGAAATTCAAACAGGATATCATTTTAGAGAAACCTTTCTGATGCAATCAAGAAAGTGATCATCTGACTTATTATATATTCCATTATCATTACCAGCAAATGCAGATAGTGTAACTACAGATCCTTATTTGTACTGTAAGTACAATAGCCCAGTGTCCCATACATTTTAAAACTGCATTTACAGCATCTTTCAAACATAATCTCAACAGCTGATTCTTATATTCAACTAAATTAGCTTTAAGCTTTCTTCTGTGATAGCACCTAGCATAAACACATTATCTATGTGTTTAAAAAATGAGGGCACAGATTTCATAAAGCTAATTTAGTTAACTGACCAATACTAAACCTTAAAAACCTTGATGAAAACTGAAACCTTTTCTGTTTTGTACTTACTGTGGGCTTACAGATTTAGTTTGTGTTTTCATTACCCTAACATAGATAAAACATGTCATCAAATCTTCTCAAAGGAGAAAATTCAAGTCAAACAACAAAGGAGATGCCTAATGTTGATTGTAACTAATTTACTATCACTCCATTTCTTTAGCAAGGAGACTTCAAAACAACAGCACTAAGAAGGCTTTTTCTATGTACAGTTATGTTTTCTGCATTGATCACCCTAATTTCACCTCACTAAACTCAATATAAGGCTAGCTCTTCTGAAAAGTTTACATTAGATGGTGAAATGTGAAAGCTTCTTTTTCTGTCTTTTATGAATGAACTAATCTGTAAAAGTAATAAAGATCATTTTTCTAGTCTGTGGGGACTGAGGAAATGTATCTTCTGGATTTAATCACAGGCTAAAACATTTCAGTTTTATATGTCGGACCTTTGAAATTTGCTTTTGGCTTTTAATTCATGGGATTTGTAACTGATATCAGCCCTGAACAAACTTCTGAATCCGTTAACTATCCCTCATTTATGGTGTATTGCCTGAAAAGTAAGCAACTACTGTAGGCTGCCGAAATAGGAAACATCAGGCATTAATTGTGGAAATATTTGATACATTTTCAGTGCCACATGTGTCTGTTCATCATACTGTATATTGATCACATACTGTTTAAGAGCTGTTTAGTCAGAAATAAGGGTAGGTACAAGGTTAGCCAGGAGAATTTTGGAACAATGTTTTATGAACAGATGAGATAACAGTAAATCTTTACCAAACCAATCTAAAGATTTGAGTTGGGAGAAAGGAGTAACATACAATTTATTAATTACATTGACATTTTTTATTTCATATGTCACAGTATGTTAAATATTAAAGTAATATTTTGATACTGATTATATCGTACTGTAGTTGATTGCTGCACTTTATGATATGATGTATAGTGTAAAGACATAACAGTAGTTTAATCATTTCAGTGAAAATTGGTTACATAACAATAGTTTAATCATTTCAGTGAAAAGTGGTTCCGGTGTGAGTGTGTGTATCTGGATCAATTATTATAAGTGATGGTTTCATGATTAAGGAACAAAATCCACCTTTATTAACACTTCTTTTCCTGATCTTGAGTAAAACATTTTTTTTTTATCAAAGGTCACCGTGTGTGATGTTGAAATTTCTTGGGCCTCCCTCCTCGCTTTGCTGTTTCTACAGTACTTCTTTTTTTTTCTTCAAAAAATACTATGAGACTGACTCCTTGGTCTAGAGCCAATCATCAAAATATACTAGAAGTTTTTCATAATATACACAATGCTGATTTTTGACTTGTTTTAATTCACCGCTCTTCTAGAAAATAATAAATAATAATAAACTTTTATATAGCAGGTTTAAAAATGACTTCTCAAAGCACTGTACAGTAAGAAAAAGCACACAATAAGAGACAGGTCACTAATGGCCCATATGCTCTTCCAGTGTCTGGATGGGATTTCTCTTAGTGCTCTAATTCCCCCTCCCAGAAACATGCTAGATTAACTGGTGTCTCAAAATTGAGTTTATTCCCTCTGACAGACAAGTGTCCCATTCAAGGATGTGTACTGTACGTTTTGAGACAACAGCAGGACAGCAGTTTAAAAAAAAACATGTTAAAAGCATGAGGGTCCAAGAGGAGTTTGAATCACACTATTCTCTGATCACACTTCTGTAGTGTGAAGAATACTGCCATCGTCTGGAATACCCACCTCCAAAAGTGAGATTTTAAAATTATTAAACTCGATTTTAAAAAGATAAAATATAATAAATATAATTTTACGTTTTCTGCAAAACAAAATTGTCATTTGAAGATAGTAGCTTGACATTAATACAGTAAATCAGAAAGGACTGTAATAGGAGCTGTGTTGAACATTGATAAAAGGTTAGTGATGCATGCTGGATTTCCAAACAATTAAGTTATTAAATTATTTTTGTCATAGGTGGTTTTTTACTCTCAATTTATGTACCTGAAATTAATCTATAGAAGCCTTCTGCTGTTCAATAAACCTACAAATTGCAGCTGAGTATCTAAATCTTGCTAAGAGAACTTGCTATTGGTGGAGTTTCTAAGTGAAAAATCCCTCAGTGTAATACCACCTCTCCAGCTAGTGGGTGAATTTTTTAATAGGGAGATAGGCTCCCATTTATTTTGTGGCATGAGATGATATTGATAGTATTACAGAAAGGAAAACCCAAATACCAAGAATTAGAGAGTAAGTGGTCTTTCGTAGTGAACTTAATTAAAATGCTTCATATTACACTATGTCCCATAACATATATTTATAATACAGAGGAACAATAGGTTTATTACATGCTGAGAAGAAAGAAAACACGTTTCGGCCGAAACGTTGTGTTTTCTTTCTTCTCTTTTCAGCATGGAATAAATGTACTACTTGTTCCTTTGCAGCTGACACAGCCACCCACCTGAACTACTGAATAATACAGAGTTTGAAAAGGTAGCATGTGATTTGTTATAAAGATACCTAAACTAATGTATTGTATTCATAACAGTATTTATAGACACTTTAAAATAAGAAATACGTTATTCTCTTTTTGAACTCCTACAGCTGCTCTGTCTCCAGAAGACCCATCAACACCACCAGGTCTAGATCTTTATCACCATTTTCAATGAGATTCCTCTCAACCTACTATGCCGCCTCCCATAGATCTGACTCCATTTATCGGGTCTGAAAGTAGATTTTTGTGTTATGTTGTCTTTTTAAATTATCATTATTGTTTTTCTTATTTGAAACAGGGCACTTCCCTTTATATAACAGCAACTAGAAGATGCCTGCTCTCTCAAATGGGATCAGATGTACAGTATGTTAAAGGTAATAGCTTTTCAGTGTTTGCCCATCGTGTTGCAATAATTACTAAGCACATCAAAATATTTCCAAAATAAACATGTGACCAATTAAAGAATTAGATGCAGATGTTTATGAAGGAAGTGGTATACTGTACCACAACCACCTAAATAAATATATTTGTATTCATAAATTAATATTGTTAATGTTCAGAAACTTATTTTTAATTTAATCTACCAACGTTTCCATTCAGTTACATTATTCCATATTAAGTGAATTTTAAAAGTACTTCATTTTTGTTGATTGTTGTTGGAGCTAATGTTTTCCAACATCTAACGTGTTACAAGTGCAATCTATCAATCAGCTTTGACCAGTGAATCACACTGACAAAATATGTTTGGCTTCATCTGTAGATGTAAGGGCAAAAACCAGCATAATTCTGTTTAATTTTGATTTTATTTTTATCAGTGTATTGACACATATATTCCATGAGAGGGCAGTGAAGAACCAGATATCTAAAAATGTTTTTGTAAACCAGTATCTTTCTATTTTGGAACTGCTTCTGCTGTTCACTGAAATAAACATAATTACATGTAACTGAGCTTTGGAATAATAACCTAGAATTTAATGCTGAATACTTGTTCGAAAAATGTGTAAGAACGTGTCTTTGAAACCCTCCAAAATGCCTGTGTCAGCTTGCTGGTTGAGGTCTCTCACTGTATACAGTATTGGTTTTATGGTTTTAAGTTGCATAATAAACTTTAGACGTAACTGTTTTTAAATTTAAAAAAGATTTGTTTTTTATTTGTGTCTTCTACTTTGCACCAGCTTACAAATGCAGTCTTGTAGGATTCTGTTCTCTCTCGCCATTCCAGGACAGGTTTGTACCTTTTCACTGGTCTCTAAGTACTGGATGCCACATCCCAGATCATCACCCATATGTTCAGTGGAGCTCAAGTGGTATACCTCTCACATTGTCATGCTGCAAGAAAGCTGTTACATTAGCAGCATGAGGATGTTTGTTGTCCTAATAGAACCTTGTCAGGTCCATCATTCAGGAAGAACAGTAAGTGATGTCCCAGGCCTTGATCAGTGTAGCTCCATGCAGTTAGATAGATAGATACTTTATTGATCCCATGAGGGAAATTGCAGTGCAACAGCAGCTCAACACAGACAACACAGCCACAGTGTAACGAATGATACAATAATAATAATAGTACAATACATACAATACAATCAGTACAGTGAGGGGTGCACTAAAAGAGTTACTCACAGTCCGGACACACAAAGAACAAAAAAGAACAGAACAGTACACAGAAAAATCGTATCACACATATCAATATAAATATAGATATAAATGTATTGCACAGGTCACTAGCATATATTGCACAAAAAACGATTGTAAACGGGAAAAGAAAAGAAAGAGATGTAGCAGTAGATGTGTAGATGCGTTCAGTCCAGAAACAGGTCACTGTCAATGTTGCCTCTGCCCAGACGCAAGGTGGATGCGTTGTACAGTCTTATGGCAGAAGGCAAGAATGACAGGTGGGCATCAATCACTACAAGTGGAGTTCAATAGATTCTCCTGCCCAGACAATTTTCATTGGACCTCCCCATTGTTTGGTCTGTCATATACAACAATTACATTTATTATTTTCTACTTCTATCACCATACGCATTGATATCCACAAAGGTGCTTGATTCATGAATAAAGAC